GCGACGGAGATTCGGAGTTTCTTGGGGTTAGCAGGCTACTACCGTCGGTTTGTGGAGGGGTTTTCATCTATTGCAGCTCCGATGACCAGGTTGACCCAGAAGGGTTCCCAGTTCAGATGGTTGGAGGAGTGTGAGGCGAGTTTTCAGAAGCTCAAGACAGCCCTGACTAAGGCACCGGTGTTGGTCTTGCCCACAGGATCTGGGCCTTATACCGTCTATTGTGATGCTTCCCGTATTGGACTTGGTGCAGTATTGATGCAGGATGGCAAGGTTATAGCCTATGCTTCGAGGCAGTTGAAGATTCATGAGAAAAACTATCCAGTGCATAATTTAGAGTTGGCAGCTATTGTCCACGCCTTGAAGATTTGGAGGCATTATCTGTATGGCGTGGCATGTGAGGTGTTCACTGACCACAAGAGTCTTCAGTACTTGTTCAAGCAGAAGGAGTTGAATTTGAGGCAGGGGAGGTGGTTGGAGTTGTTGAAGGATTATGATGTCACTATTTTATATCACCCGGGTAAGGCCAATGTGGTGGCCGACGCTTTGAGTAGCAAGTCAGCAGTATGGGCAGTCTTGCTTATATTCCAGTCAGTCAGAGGCCGCTTGCTTTGGATATTCAGGCCTTGGCCAATCGATTTGTGAGGTTGGATATTTCTGTGCCCAGCAGAGTGTTAGCTTGCACGGTTGCTCGTTCTTCATTATTGGAGCGTATCCGTGATCGGCAGTTTGATGATCCCCATTTATGTGTCCTTAGAGACACGGTGCAGTGAGGAGGTGCCAAGCAGGTTACCTTAGACGATGATGGTATTTTGAGATTGCAGGGGCAAGTTTGTGTGCCCAATGTGGATGGGCTTCGAGAGTTGATTTTAGAGGAGGCCCATAGCTCCAGGTACTCTACTCACCCGGGCGCCGCGAAGATGTATCAGGACTTGCGGCAGCATTATTGGCGGCGTAGGATGAAGAGGGATATCGTAGCATATGTGGCTCGTTGTTTGAATTGTCAGCAGGTTAAGTACGAGCATCAGAGGCCGGGTGGTTTACATCAGAGGATTGAGCTTCCCGAGTGGAAATGGGAGCGGATTACAATGGACTTCGTTACTGGACTTCAGTTGACCCGGAAGAAGTTTGATACGATATGGGTTATTGTTGATAGGCTGACCAAGTCAGCGCATTTCATTCCTCTGGCAGTCTCCTATTCTTCTGAGAGGTTCGCTGAGATCTATATTCGGGAGATTGTTCGCCTTCATGGTGTGCCCGTGTCTATCATTTCGGATCGGGGTACGCAGTTTACCTCACGTTTCTGGAGAGCGATTCAGCGAGCGTTGGGCACGCGGGTAGACTTGAGCACAACATTTCATCCCCAGACGGACGGTCAGTCCGAGTGGACTATTCAGATTTGGAGGATATGCTCTGAACTTCGGTCAAAGTTTTGGGAAACGGACCCGGACCCGTGATTTGACGGTCCCGGAGGGTCCGTAGGAAAATATGGGACTTGGGCGTATGCCCGGAATCAAATTCTGAGGTCCCAAGCCCGAGCAATGAATTTTTGTGTGAAATTATTTTCTAGAAATAATTAAGGAAATTGGAAATGGAATTTGATTAAAAGACTGTGGTATCGGGCTCGTATTATGGTTCCGTTGCCCGGTACAAGTCTTATATACGGCTTAAGTACTTTCTGTAAAGTTTGGTTGAATTTGGACGTCGTTTGACGTGTTTTGGACTAAAAACTCTAAACTTGATGTTTGATGAAAATTGGAAGGAAATCCTGGGTCTTGAGGCCTAATTTGATGATTTTGATGTTGTTTGGGCGACTTGATCGCACGGATGAGTCCGTAGGATGTTTTTGAACTTATATGTATGTTCGGTTTGGAGCCCCGAGGGCTCGGGGGTTTGAGGCTAGAAAAATAGCAGATGGTTGCAGGTTCAGGGATTTGCAGGCCCCCAGCGCGGCCGCGGTCGTTTCCGCGCGGTCCACGCTGGAAGCCGCGCGGCCGCGGTGCATCTCTGCGCGGTACGGGTGGCTAGGTTCAGAGGGCCAGTGAAGTCTAGGTCGACCAGCGCGGCCGCGCACCAAATCAGTGCGGTCCGCGCTGGGAGATTCAGAGAGTGAGTCTTGGGTCCATTCGACCAGCGCGGCCGCACACCAAATCAGTGCGGTCCGCGCTGGGTAGGTTCAGAGAGTCATTTTTCTTCCCTTCCTCGGCGCGGCCGCGGTGCATTTTTGTGCGGTCCGCGCCAGTCTTCAGCACACTATATAAGGTCGGGATTTTCAGTCATTTTTCACTTTTTCAAAACCCAAAACATAAGAGGCGATTTTCCAAACGATTTCACTTCTTCAAAACGATTGGTAAGTATTTTCTAACTGATTTTCTTTACTCCTTAACATCCTTAAACATAATTTCAACTTCAAAACAAAGGTTTTAATGGGGAAATTGGGAATTTAGGGTAGAACCTAGGTTTTTTTAAATTGGGGGTTTTGGACCTCAATTCGGGGTCCGATTCCAAAATAACTTGCATATTTGAGTTCATGGGGGAATGGGTAAACGGGTTTTGGTTCAAACCTCGGGTTTTGACCATGTGGGTCCGGGGGCATTTTTGACCTTTTGGGGTAAATTGATGAAAAAGCTATAATTAGTCATTGGGTTTGATTTGTTTAGCACATATTGATATCATGAAGTCCTCATTGCATAGATTTGGTCGAGTTGGAGCCGAATTCGAGAGGGAAAGCGGTCGTGGAGGATTGTATTGGCCGTGGAAGTTGAGGTAAGTGTTTAGTTTAACCCTAGCTTGAGGGATTAGGAGACAAGTCTTGTTTGCTAACTGCTAAATGATCGAGTGCGATGTATAGGCATGGTGACGAGTTCCTATACATTGGGGTCTAGCATGACCGTGAGTTCTTATATGTGAGTTGTTTGGATATTGTTATGCCTTCCATGTCATTGATGGCTTCTATACGTGGTATACACACTGTGAAAGATATTGTGATTGTAGAACTTCGTGGAGCATTGGCTCGGTCTGAAACACAGATGGTGAGAGCATGTGAAATGAGAAATGCCTTAGAGCTTGACACGAGTGCTAATGAGAGTTAGGCTATGAAAATGAAAGAAAAGAGAAATAACGATTTACTCTTGCATAGTTGTTATTGGTTGTTTGTGTACCCTTGTTGGGATTTCTTTCCAAATACTTGTTTACTCCCTTGCCCTTTATTTGTGATTGTTGCTTGGGCAAGGTTGAGAGGTATACATTGTGGATCGGGTTGCACGCCGCGACAATGTTAATTGTGGATCGGGTTGCACGCCGCAACAATGATAATTGTGGATCGGGTTGCAGACCGCAACAATGTTAATTGTGGATCGGGTTGCACGCCGCAACAATGATAATTGTGGATCGGGTTGCACGCCGCAACAATATTAATTGTGGATCGGGTTGCACGCGTAACAGTGATAATTGTGGATCGGGTTGCACGCCGCAACAGTGTTGAAATGTATTAGGGTCGGGTTGCGCGCCGCAACAGTTATTGATGCAAATATGATTAGTGTTGGTATTAGTTTCTTGTTCGCCTTAAATTTCAATTGCACCTAGATTGATTACTTTGAATTTACTGTTAATGTTGTTATTTCCCCACAGCATGCTTCCCTTCCCATACTGTTAGTTGCCTTGTACTTCGATTTCTAATGTATATTATAATTGTACAGGTTTATGTGAGGTCCAGTCTAGCCTCGTCACTACTTCGCCGGGGTTAGGCTAGGCACTTACCAGCACATGGGGTCGGTTGTGCTGATGCTATACTCTGTGCATTTTTGCACAGGTCCAGGTATTGAGCAGCAGCAGCAGCTTTAGCACGGGGGCGAACCTTCAGTCCAGAGAGACCCGAGGTAGCTTGCAGGCGTCCGCAGGCCCGGCGTCTCCCTTCTATCTTTACGCTTTGGCTGTCATCTCATTGTTCCCGAGATAAACAGATTATGTTTCTTTCAGACTTTATATGTAGTACTCCTTAGATGTTCGTGAGGATGTGACTCCAGTTCCGGGGTAGAGATATATGTGTTGGAACTTCTGTATTATTGATCGTCTATCTACATTTAAGTCTTCCGCTATGATTTTAATTCTGTCGCCTTTATTTAATGCCGTTAATTATTAAAAAGGATCATGTGTTTAATGAAATTGCTAATTAAGTTGGCTTGCCTAGCTCCTATTAGTAGGAGCCATCACGACCCGAGGGTGGGAAATAACCTTTATGGATTGAACGTTTCTGATGGTCAACATCTTTGAATAGTCTGTAATATGGAACAGATAGTCTACTTCTCTTTTAGACTATATTATACCTCTTTGTCTTCAGGTTGGAATAAAGTGAACAAAATTAAAAACTTTTCTTACCTTTTCTTTTGTGCGGGGTTTTCTTTTCATTAATCTTTGTTGTTTTTGCTTCTAGTTATACTAGAAGAGCTTGTTGAATCCTGAGAGATACGCCCACAGTGTGCGAAATATCCTTAAGGACAGTGTTCTTGACACGCCTCAAGCTAAATCTTATTCCCCTTTATCCAATATTTTTCCAACATAATTTAACGTTAAATTCTTATTTTTATTTAATAACACATATTTATAGTTACAAAAATTTGTCGCAGTCTTAAGATGACAAGTTCCAAAATTCATTAATATTTCTTTCGTAAAATTTTACGCCTAATTAAACTACACCACATATTTAATTAAATACTCCATCTTATATAATGCAGGGGTTTCTCATCTTGCACATTTTCGAAATATTACCGTAAATAGAGCCCTGATAATGCAAAACATATATACACTGATAGCGTATAGGAGTTATGCAAATATCTCTTTAGAACTCAAATGTGAAATCTTCACTCTCCACTCCTGCCAACTAAATACTGGTCCCCTCAGAAATTAATAGTACCTTTCTATTCAATCAAAGTTAAGTACTCAAATCTTACTATAAATAGAGCCGAAGAATGCATCAATTTCTCCATCCTTCAATTTCAATTATCATAACTAAGTTTTAACAAAAGATGGGTTCCAAGGTATTTCTGTTTCTTGGCCTTTGTTTGGCCATTTTTCTAATGATAAGCTCTGAGGTTTTAGCTAGGGAGTTGGCTGAGACTTCCACCATTTCAGAAGAGGGCTGTAAGAACCCTCTCATTATTTGCATATATGTTCAATTCTCTACTTAATTCAATGTTGTCATATTTTTATCTGGTGAAATTATTTAACCTTTCCAATTAGAGTTTAACGTGTCATAAAGATACTATTTAAATCCCATTAAAACAAGTAGGTACCTTAACTATAGTTTGAAATTACCACATATTTACTAAGTTGTATAATTACTAGGATAATAATAACACGATACGTTAATTACAATTGTATTAGTGGATCTGTAACCTTTACTAATGTTAGCTTGACCAAGACAGAGGGGGGTGTTCAAGAGGATGTGTGTAATATTATACAGAGGTGGATTTAAAATTTACATTTGACGTGCTTAATTTTAGGTATACTTTTGAAATTAAGGTTCAAAATTATATTCTTTTTTAAAATTTTAGTGATATTCATGTATATACCTATACTCCATTCCAAAAATTAGTCCATCCGAATTGGGATTTGAACCGTCAATTTCATGTAGAGGTGCAATTATTATACCAGAAGAGTCTTTGAGCATGTGTGCACACACATATAATTAAGTACTTTTCAAGAAATATAATATTTTTATATATGATTTGATGAGAGGAGTATGGGTTCACGTGAACCCATATCCTATGACCTAGATACGCCCCTGGACCAAGACTCTTAGGGCTCGCTTTGTATGAGGGATAAGGGATACTTAATCCGGGGATTAAATTTTAGATAAGTTTTCAACGTTTGGTTGGGATAATATCATGGTATAACTGATCCCGCAATTAGTTATCCCGGGATTGTTGCATTATTTTTATATTTATGGGAGAGTGGAATAATAATCACGGGATAATTAATCCTGGGAAAACATATTTTAAACCTTCTAAAATATAATCATAAATCTTACAACTTTATGGATTGCATATTTTCTTCGTAATTCTGTGTAAGGATCACATAATAAGCTAAAAAAAAGGAAGAATAATAAAGCAGTTAAAGAACAACATTCTTATTTTCACAATTGATGCAGCGAAGAAACCCAATAACAAGAATGAAGTACATGAAGCTCAATACAGTTATGTAGGATACCCTGCCCCCGGATACCCCGTTAGCCGAAACCCTGGCGGCGGAATCCCCCCTTAGTGGTGGCGGACATCCTGACGGCGACCGTGGTGGTGGTGGATACCCCCGTGGGGGACATGGTGGTGGTGGCTATCCTGGCAGTGGACGTGGTGGTGGTGGACGCGGTGGTGGTGGAGGATACTGCCGCTATGGTTGCTGCGGCCGCCGGAATTACAATGGTTGCAGCAGGTGCTGCTCCTACAAAGGTGAGGCCATCCATGGATAATTAGGTCACTATATTGAAGCTAAGCCTCACAACTTATCATCATGTGGAGCAATATATAAAACTTTTGTACTTAGTAAAGCCTCAAGATGTAATAGTAATAATCTTGCAGCTTTTTAGAGCTTGTTGTAACAAGTTATGAATAAAATTAAGTCATCATTTAATATTTGTGTTAATTATAAAATGGTGTGATAACGTTTTCCTTTTGAGCATGTTGTTCTCTTTTTTTTTTACATATAAGAGATTTACTTTTAGAAGAATTAACTGAAATAACCGTCCACCCTACCACTTAAATAAAAAATAACCGGTGAATATATAATATATGCATAATTTATGTATTACATGTGTGCAATTGTGTATAATTAATTTATAGTCTATGCATATGGTTAGAAAAAGTAAACAATTAATATGACCGACTATTTATGTAAAGATATATTTTTATACATATGAGATCTGTACGAATTGCACGAATTAATGCAAGAGAAAGTAAAAAAACACATTGTCAATAACAAGAGATGTGGTGTTCGAGTCTAGGTATATGGAGTCGCATTTGTTAGGAAGCGCTTTAAATCTCTTAATAAGAGATTATTCATCACGAATTCAAATTTAGCTGGACCACAATATGGATATTGAAACCGAGTGAGAAAAGAAACACAAATTAATTAATTTGGATTTCCTTCATAACCTAAGCCTTCAAAATTGAAAAGGCAAGAAAATAACAGAACCCACGACATATTCTTAAGGAATAATTAGAAAATGCTGCTCAACTGACGCATTTATATATTTTGGTAGTTTCTTCGAAAGTTTTTCGCGAACTGAGCACCAATTTTTGACTAGGAATAGTGTCTGTAATTCTGACTATAACTTTTTCTAGTTATACAAATAAAGTTCATCTATGCATTCAATCAGTTAAACTTTGCAATTTCTGTAATGTCTATTTTAAAATCATGAAAAAATTATTTACACTTTTTGATTCGAGAAACTTGAGAGAGTTCATAAACTAGTGTGTACCATTTAATCTGACATAAACTTCTAAGTTTATTGTTAATGATATGCTCTCATATCACAAATTATAATGAGATGTACAAAAAGTCTTTTTTTCCTTCTTATATGCATGATGGTAAGTACATGCGACCAGTGGCGGAGCCACATGCACCCAAGGGTTGTCAACCGACACTTTTTCGTCGAAAAATTACACTGTTTAGCTTGGTAATTTTTAAAAAAAAATGTATATTCACTATAATGACACCCCTTGACTTCTTGGTCATGAGTTTGTTTTTTTATATTTTGACTCCCCTCAATAAAAATCCTATCTCCGGCACTGCATGCGACGTAAAAATTACAAAAATTATATATCAATTTGTGAAAATCGATTTATAGGTTGCGTTTAGCAAATGCGATGTATAAGTTTCATTTACTAAATGCGATTTATAAGTTGCGTTGCATTATAAATCGTATTTCTCCATTGAGACTTACACCATCTTGACTAGCACATGCATTCCATTTACAAGATCGAATTGGTGCGCATAAAAGCTCCCGGGAATATTCTGATAGTTTTTCCTAGATAGTTTTGACCAATCAGGCAGGATATGATAGGGGGTTGAAACAAGTTAGACAAAACACTAGCTATAGGGCACATGCAATCAAACACTATCCTAAAAAATGAAATGCAACATAGTAACAAAGAAATAATTATAAAAAGAAAGAATAATATAATTTTACTTAAACATAGATGACAATTACATGCAAACGAAAACAAGACATACATAATTAAGTTCTCAGATAATAAAAACAAACATGACATGACCAACCATATCCATAAGAAATGAATGGAGATTTCTGATACATTTATTCTTACTTCTAATAAAAAACTATACTTCCAATATATATATATATATATATATATATATATATATATATATATATATATATATATATATATATGTATATATACTAAAACACACACAAATCACCATACA